ATAACTTTTCAAAAGCTACAATAAAACACTTGTATTATATATTTACTGTCTGTATTTTGTTTGTTTAGTTTGTATTATGTATTTAGTAAATAAGTATTTTTAATGACGTTAACGTCCTTTTTATCTGCCATATAATGTCAACTGGTTATTATATACAACTGCCTATGACTTAATACATGATTATAAATGCAGAATTTATTATAATATTCCAGCCAGAGTGACCTATAAAATTTGGTTATCAGGTTTCCCTTGATAAACAGAATGATGTAAGGTCCTGGCGGACTGACACAATGCATGCTGCCCGTGCAATTATGCGTGAGTGACAATCGGCTCACTGTCAAGCACGGACGGTGGCATTTGACAAGTCACCGAGCTGCCGTTTGTTCTTTTCTTTAGATTCCTTCCTTCTTTTCTCTTCCACCACCACGAGCTACCGTGCGGCTCACGAGAGTGGAACGGATTTTCTCTTCAAGGACCTTTAACGGGCCTTCTGCGGAGCACGTAACGGATTTATAGACCTGGAGATGTCAAGTGCGATAATAATCAGCGTTGCAACGCGAGCTACAAGTCGCGTGATATTACGGGTTATGGAAAAATGAGGAATATGTCTTTGAGCTTTTTCCACAGCTGGGTATGCAGACTAAAATAGCTGATAAGCCAGACATTTTCTTTTTAGCTGCGAGATACGTATCGTGGGCGGAACTGTTCTGCATTTCACGCTTGTCTACAATGTTACTGCAATTTGATTATGAACGACATTGTGATTGACAGGTTATTCATTGCAGTTTCAGAGTAATTAAAATTTCAGTTCAAATACTATCATATATTATGAACGATTTAAATTACATCAATTGCAACTGCAGCGTGTAGAAGCATCCAGGCTCTGCGTTACCGTCAATTAATTAAACGTTACTTTGTCCTTCAAATGAGACAGCTTAACGGGTACATTCTGGGAAATGAGCGTAGTAACGCAGAGCAATCAGATGCGTGTGCAACCATCTGTCGTACGTACTGCACAATATTGGCCACACTACCATGTATGTATAATACGTCCTGCCTACTCGGCAACCTGTGCATCGCATCTGTTTGCTCTTCGTTCGATTTGTACACTCCTATGTAAAAATATGATTTTCTCATAGGAATATCAATTAAAAGATTGTTAAGAATTAATACAGGATTTTATTTTCTTACTAATAAGTGAACACCTAAAGTAATCTGATTGTAATACAAAATATTTAATGTTTAATTCCATTTGTCTGATATTGTCTGATAAAATTTAATTTCGTTGATATAATAATAATAAAAAATTCATTTAATTTTTGCTTCGATCGAATGAATGAATATATTATTTCACATTATAATTTTTATTTAATTTCTATTACATTTTACTAGAATCTGCTGTTTGTTCCTAACTTTTAAACGAGAGTGTACGTGGATCCGTTTGGTTCCGCAACCGCGTCACGGCCAATGTTAACGCCGCTAATTGTTTCGATCACCTAATTATGGCTTGACACTGTTATCGCCGCCGATCGACAAAAAAAGAAATTGTAACGTGTGTCCGACTCGACGGCCGATGGAAACCTGCTAATTAATTTAGGACGCCACGGGTTTACGATTGTCGGTTAATGAAATTGGACTCTGCTGATTTATCACCGTTTAATCCCTGCGAGACTTACCGTGAACGTTCCACGAAATTGTTTCAATTTCGGACCCGAGCTGTACTTTGCAGGCACATTAAATCTTAGGGTAGTCAGAAATGTCTGTCAAAAGAATTCTTAGTTAAGAAATTTAGTAATTATTTTAGACTTCACTTAAAGAATTATAGTATCTTCGTCTTACAGACGAAACATTAATCCTCGCCAATAATTTGGAAATTCTTGCACGGGAGAGTAGAAACAATGTTCGCACAGTTTCGAGATGATTTATAAGAGAGAACACGTCACGCAAATAGGGCGACGAAACTTGCCGATAATCGATAACCTTTGACACAAAGGGGCAGGAGAAGCGTTAAAGGAGTGACGGCTGCGAGCCGAACGAATATTCTTCAAAAGGAACCTGAGCGGGGAACTTGTGCACAAAGGGTCTGAAACTTTTCAATATCTGCCGGTGCTCCTCAATGCTGCAATGCCGAGTTCAACGAATTTCGACCGAACCCTCGGGAATCTACGATTATGGACTCGCGTATTCGTCCTGGCGTGATTTTAGTTGACCCGGCTACTCGAAGGGTCACGTAAAACGTGAATGCAACCAATGTCCGAATTTCAGTTTCCTCGGAAGCCTTTAATAGAATACTAAAGCGGCTTAGTAGGCAGACAGAGAATTATTGCATGGGACTCTACTACTCATCATCATCATCATCGATTTCCATATTCCAATGGTTATTGGTTAGACTAGGAAAATTAAATACGAATCTTCTACATCAATTTTAATAATTGTTACTACACACTATAATCTTCTTAAAAACTGGCATGAGTGATCTCATAACTTTCAGCCAACATAGGCAAACACAGTTCACAAGTGACACATTTCCCTGACAAGTTTCCCCAATTACAGCATCGAAGAAACTCTTGGGAAGTTTCGAGCAACGACTAGGCTGCAACGTAAATTCCGGCGAGCGCCGCAGTTTCCAACTTGACAAATCCGTCGCTCGCAATTACATTGTTACAGACCGGGTAGAGCGCGGGGATTCAAAGGATGGATCGTGGACAAAAAGAAGATTGTGCTCGGCTCAGCAGCGGGCGAAATAAAAGGGTAACACGAAACGAGCGGCGTTATTTTACTCGCGTGATTGACGCTCTTTTATTCGCCCGCGGATTCCCCGCGTTTCCACATTTTTCAATATGCGAGCCGACCGGCCGCCAATGAGGAACGTGCAGTCGCAGTAATTTCACGTACTGGAATGTATAAAATTCGTCATTATCTCTTCCGACCATTAATTCGCGTTTCGACAATTATATATGAGATATTAACTGTATTAATTAAAATACTTTCGAGCTCATTATCACATCGTTCCGTCGAACAGTTGTTTGGCTCGTTACATTTTAGCCGCGCCGTCGCACTACAGGGATAAACATATATCCCTTGATACCAGCCGTGTACACAGCAAGGATTCATTAAAATTGACGAGTGTTCCAGGAAGATCACCGTCGCGTCCCGTGCATCGCTCCGATTGTTTCCGTGGGCATTATAACTCGGAGGTGGAATAATCCTGCCTCTCTCGCATGGTTTTAACAATTACTGCACTTCAGCTACATATGAATGTTTATCGGGATTCCAGCGAATTCGCGTGCAACGAGATGATCAGCGAATTTGCGTTGCTGACCAACGACAAAATTCCTCTTAAACAGCCGTTATTGTGGTAACAGGCGCACTCGCTGATTGCAAGCTGGGACACGTCGTTCGCGTGATAACAGCCGTTCGTATATGACGTTGGACCCGGAACTGTCACCGTCGCCTACTATGAACTTGACAGTAACCGCACCTTGACTTAATTAATATTCCTACTTTCATACGGGGTTGAAGGTTACTGGATCGACGAGATAATCGTATATAAGCCACCGTACCTGGAGGGTTGACCATCAGTCACCAGCCAACTGAAGACCAACAGATCAATCAACATGAAATTCTTGGTAAGACATTCTTCAGAATGAGTCAAGTATAATTCTTGAATACTCCATCTTATACGTTGCATTATATATTGTTTTATACATACTTTTATAAGTTGAGAATTATTCTTATGTGTTCTCATTTTAAATAAGGATCTGGGGTACTTATTTTTCTAAGATCTCTCAGTATATCTTGCTTCTTATTTTATTCAGAGTAATCTTTGTTATAAAATTGTTTAAAATTCAAATTTTTACTTCACTTTATAATATTTATTTCATTAAGAATTGACATAATCTTACTGAATAATGATGATAGCATTTTATAAAAATAAATTTTGACTTGATTCTCTGAGAAATGAAGACATGGAATCGAATTATCAATTTCTTTATTTATTTAATACAGAAAAATAGTCTCACTAAAAATTTCTCTTTATTTAATTTCATATAATATATAGAATTATTATATATTTTTAGCTCGTTCTCGTCGCCGCTCTGGCCATCGCCGCAGGTAGCCCCGACCGTGAGCGTCGGTCTCTGGGCTTGGGCTTGGGCCTGGGTCTGGGACATAATGGCGTGGTGCTTGGCGGACTGCCGGGATTAGCGTTGGCAGGTCATGGTTCTTCGATCGTCGGCCCCTTAGCCGGGTCTGCCACCGTTGTCGGACCCGTTGGCCCGTCTGCCGCCGTTGTCGGACCCGTTGGCCCGTCTGCCGCCGTTGTCGGACCCGTTGGCCCGTCTGCCGCCGTTATCGGACCCGTTGGCCCGTCTGCTGCCGTTGTCGGACCCAGTGGTGGCCATGCTTCGCTCATCGGACCCGCTGCTGGCCATGCTTCGCTCATCGGACCCGCTGCTGGCCATGCTTCGCTCATCGGACCCGCTGCTGGCCATGCTTCGGTCGTCGGACCCGCTGCTGGTAAGTAAAAAATAAACGTCGCAAAATCTATTAAGAACGATCTTGAACCACTTGATACTAATTGTATTCGATCCTCAAGAGACTGATGAATATTAGTCAAGTGGTACACAGACTCGTGTTTTCGATAACGAATTTTACATGGCAGCAACAGAATAGAAAAAATGGTTTGTCCGGCAGGTGCTGCGGTGATTGCCGGTCCCGCGGGATCCGTGCATGCTACTGGCCACTGGTAAATACATCCACGACAACACCACTTCCAAGGCAATTCGAACGATCTCTGTCATGAATTTGCGAGCGGTTCCTAATTCGATCCATAACCGCTGGGCATCGAGCACTTCAACCTCAAGTATTGTTCATAGACCGAGCCCAACAAATTAAATAATGACATGTATACATACTTATCCGCTTGGAACGTGAGTTCCAACCAAGATTTTGTCGCGAGTGACTCTGTTTCTTTTTATACTTATTATATAATAAATAAAGCTCTATTCTAAACTCGTTTCTGGAATACTTACAATCCCGAATATCCTTAATCCCGATAATCGAGTCGAAACGGCCGGCCCGTTTAATTCGAGTTTAATGCTACTTAGGTGGCAATAAAAGTTATCGGGCACTCGCTGTTCTCCTCCCGGCAGTCGCTCCAGTTTCTAATTACTTTAGATTGTTAGACGCATTGCCGTTGTCGCGCCGCTCATGGCCGCCGCTGCCAATGAAAGGACACGGAATAATGGCTCCGGTGAAACTCCATCGCCTCCTGGTATATCGCGGCTTTATTTACGAAGCTACAGTAAATCCGGAGATAACTCCAGTTCGGATAGTACGTGAGGCAAAATACAAAACGCTTCTTTATTTTCTAACTTCTCTCATAAGTCACAATCGATACAGATGATGATTTGTTTTAGAAGTACCCAGTGGCATGAGTTATCAAAGCAATACCGTTAATCAAGTCACGATTTATTAAAACTGTATTTTATTTTATTAGAAATACAAAAAGTTTCTATAGAGACAAATTATAGAATCTTCACCAATGAGACAATAAATCCTTTAATATAATCATTTCCAGCATGTAACAATGTATTCAAGATAGACAATACTTAAATAAGGTTTAGTAAATCTTTACTTGATTTTATTAGAAACCTAGAAAAGTCCATAGAAATATAAATTCCAACAATGAGACAATAAATTCTCAGTATTTTACACAGTATTCTCTATTAATGTCTTTTAAATAAGAAAATATAACAGAGTAAATTGCGAGAAATATATTTCGATTTACGAGAAATAAATATATATAATATTTCTTATGCATTATAATAAAGTACATTTTTTATTATTTTGAAGAAAGAATTGATTACCGATATTTTACTCCCTCTGGCTAAGGAGACAGCTGTGCGTGTACTTAATAATACATTAATCTACGCAAGTGTATTTCGATTGCACAGGTGTCGTTAATTGCAATTAAATTATTCGAACAGAACAGAATGTTTACGCATTTAATAAACGCTGATTGTTTCCTGCGCGTGACAGGATAGTTAATAAATAAATTGAGGCAACGTGTAATGTTTAAAGTACGAGATAATTGTTTCAATAATGAATTGTTTATTACGTTCACCTAACTCTATACTTAATCTAAGTTATCGTTTTTGTACGTATTCAAAGTATAAATTTATTCTCGTTGCTGTTAATTATTAAATTGTATTCTTAATAACTAGGGTAGGATTTTTCAAATAGAACAAAGAAAAATAATTTTTAAGTAATTTTATTATCAGATACGAAACGTAAATTTCAAGGAAGGGGGTGGGGGAATAGTGCAATTTTTCATGTTGGCCAATTTAGGGAAGAATGGCAGATCGAAGCTGATGCCGAAAACAGAGGGTGGTGTGACCAATCGTCGAATTTGAAACATCGTTGGTGTTCATTATAATACTTCAGGTCCAGTTACGCCGGGATATTTAATAAACAATTACCACGCCTTGGCTCCCCAACCACCAATTCCCAAAGGAGCAGCTCCCCAAGCCGCTGAAACCAGAAAGATCAGACTTCAATCATCCCAATTCGTACTTATAAAGTAAAAATGCTAACAAATAGCAAACATATTATAAAAAGATTCTATTATTTCCCTGGAAAAGTAGTACATAATGTGTCTGTAGAATTTACACGGTGTACGGAGTACAGAGTATCAAAGTTGAGTCACTAAGTATTATTTAAAGGGAATGAGATATTCGTGTGTCCATTTAGCACACTCGAATCGATAGACGGATAATTTGGTAAATATGTGGTACTTACGTGCTGCGACAAGCTTAACAGCGGGAGCGGCTACAATGGGAGCAGGGATGAGCTTAGGGCCAGTGAGAATTGTAGTGGTCAGGGCTGGTGCACCGAGGATGCCACGGCGTTCGCGTTCCTGTTCGGGTTCGGGGAAGGCCGCAACGATGGCGACGACGGCGAAGAGGATCACCTGTAATGAGAACAAATTAATTTATTCCTGCCGGTGAATACGGCATAATCGATCAATCAGAATAATAACTACGTTCCAACAAAGCGTGACGACAAAGACAAATCTGATTACATAAATGAATAAAAGGAATAATTCAATAATTGCTACAGTAAGTAGCCGTGTGAATTAATTATTCTCACTTACCAAGTACTTCATGTTGTTGGTTTTGTTGGGCTGGTTAGCTTTCCTCTGAATGGAAATCACAAGCGACTGATGAAAATCCCGGCCACGCGTTCTTCTTTTATACTCTTATTTTCCTATCTATTGAGTCCACCTCGTATACGTCATCATCCCGTGTAGAGACCTCAGGGTCTGGTCAAGATACCGCCCTGTGTCCCTGGAGCGGGCGTGGCCTGGTGGACTTGAATCCGTAAATCAGGACCTGGACGGCGATTCGAAACGATGAACTCGCAAACAGCGAATGTTGCATCAGAAATCTCGCACGCAACATAGAAGTTTCGCGACGGTATAGATTTGCATACTACACAACCGCACACATATAAACTGTTATTTTCATTTTGTACTTTTTACAGTCAATTGCTAAAGTCGTTGTGCCCGATACGATCGATCTCAGAGATTGGAGCTTGGAACGAGGGAAGGGGACAATAGCCGGCGCGACGGGACAATTTAGGGTTCGACTGCAAGATGCAATTCGCGGTGGACGTTGCGAAACTGACTTTCAACTCTACTTCAAGTTTTAACAGCCTTGAACACCTCGCTAACCGATGAAATGAAAATGTTCGGAAGGCAGGAAATGCTGTCTTGAAAAGTCAGTTACGCGTTGCGACACGGGAAATCAACTGCCTGCGTCTCCGATTCGATTTTCGCGAAAAGCTTCAATTATCAGAATCGCTCAGCAGTTCTTTTCAGTGTTAAACGTGCAGATCATCGAGAGAAAAGTTGTCCGTGCCCACGCTAAGAGGTAAACAGATATATCTGGTATTAATTAAAGGATAATCACGAGTAAGATGTCAGGAACAGGTCTAGAATTTATATATAGGCCAAGCAAGACCGAGACATTGTCGCACGCGGAATTCCTGTGGCTTGAAAGCGAAACGGGGCGCGGTGATGACTTTTTCCTTATTCATCATCAGAGGTTAGTACCATGTAACGGAGTATATATAACGATTCGGGCCGGTTGGAGTCTGATCAGTTAAAGCTACGTGTCGGAGTGGCGGCCGGGAAAATTCCGCGCGATTGCAGACAATAGGAAAAAAGGACGGGGCAGGTCAGCCATGAAGTTGCCGGTAAGCAATAAGAGGGAACTTTATCCGGTTTGCTCATCGGGCGGCGGAGAGATCGTCGCGAAAGGAGCAGCAGTTTCTGATGGGAAAACTTTAATCCGTTAGCTCTGTGTAATGCACTTTCGTGTCGTCCGTGAAATATGAACGGCTCCCTGTCTCTGACCAATGTTTCGCTGATATATAGACCGTCGCCGTGTTCGCCGGCAGTCGGATAATTGAAACGTATGGCCGCGGCCTGTAACTTTCATCAAGACGGGTAATCCATTGATTCCGCTTAAACGTGTTTTCCCAGTAACGAACTAACCAGCGTTCACGCGATTTTACCTAATTCGGGTATAGAGCCGTTCCATCAATAGCATTTCATGCGAACAATCTGTCCGAGTCTCGTGATTCCCATTCGCTGCCAAGTTATTTCTTGGTAAGAGCACATATATTATCATACATAATCATTTAGAAGCAGAAAACCAAAGACGAGTATACTCGTCCTGGCAATGCGTGACACTCTGCCAAAGACGAGTATACTCGTCCTTGGCAGCGAATGGGTTAAACATTAAAACGTCATGAAGTCTCATGTGAAGCCAAGACAGACGTTGTTATTAATGGTCGATCCTCACAGAGCGTGCGATGCGATGCGATGCGATGCGCTGCGTTTCCGTATTTTTCGAGCCTACGGCCGGGTTTACCAGTGCCATAGACTGTACCCTACAGCATATACTAAAAGCATGTAAACGTCGGAGACTTTGGAGGGCCCCCGTAATAGTTAGCCGAGAGTCCGTAACTCGAGGACCCAAAGTACGGGTCAGACCCCCCGCTGTTCACTTACACATAGACGAAAAGGTCGATTTTATGGCCTCTGCGATGAAATCCTCGGGATTTCTTGGCGAGAACACTTTCGGAAAAATCGCATGCGTTTCTTTTCGTCTATGTGTAAGTGAATCGCATCGACCTTTTCGTCTAAGTGTAAGTGGACAGCGGGTGTGTGACCCCTACTTTTGGTCCTCGAGCTACCGATTCTCGGCTAGCTAACACTGGGGCCCTCCGAAGTCTCCGACTTTTACATGCTTTCAGTATATGCTGTAGGGTATAGCCTACAGCACTGGCAGACCCGGTCGAAAACTCGAAAAATACGGAAACGCAGCGCATCGCATCGCATCGCACGCTCTGTGAGGATCGACCATTACTCTGACAGATTCATATACGAATTATTCTAAATCTGTGTATATTTAATTAAACATTACTTAGTGATTCAAGATTTTAAGAGTGCGAGAAGTACTTCCAGTTATTCTTGATTAACTGAGTTCATTAAATATTGGGTGAAATAGAATGCATAGGAAACGTGTTTAGAGATAAAAATAAGCTTCAAGTTTCTGAGCAACTTCAGCACAATGGTGATAACCTGATACCAAATCCCCATAACTCCCATCGTGAATTGCTTACAGCTGTGTTTGCTGAATTTAAGGAGAGATCTGAAATCTTTGTCTCTATGAAAGATCACATAAATCAGAGCCTATTATTAAAAATGTAGGAACTGTTGAAACGACAATATAAAAATTTTTAAGAATTCTTGTCTTTTCTGCTCTGTATTCTATCGCGGAGCTCATAGGACGTAGTCCGAACAGATATAGCCGAATGAGACGAGACGATTCGTCGATCAGAACTCGATTGTTATCCGGCACGTAGGATCAAGGGAAGCGATATTCCTCCTTTGAGGAGTCGTTCGCGAAAAGCTCGCTGGCCGAATGCCGTCCACGTAGGGGCGGACGGTAACCGTGGCGGCGCGGCGGCGACGGGTTCATGCCCAGCACGTCTGCCGGAAACCGAGTTATGCAAATTCGTGATGCGTGGCGATTCTATCCGTGTCCAAGCACAGTCGCCCGACGTAGATATTGTCCTCGGATCGCCTGTAACGCTACGGATCACGCGCTTAAACCATGATCAGCGTGAGACTCGTTGAAAACAAATTACTCATGATCGTCTAGTAAAACATTTTTATTAATAAATATCCGACCATTTATTGTATAGAAATAGAAAATGATATTTGTATCCAATCAGCCGCCACAAATTTTAATGCGTGCGTTACTGAAATTCATATTCCAAACCTGAAATGTAGCCATGTAACCGGATTAAAGTCTGAATCGATTATCAATTAGTTTGACGTCCCATCATATCTCATTAGAGATAGTAAATTGTCAAAGGATTACAGGAGAATGTCAAAGTTCGAATCCTGGTCCATTGAATGTACTAGTAGGTTCCTCGAACACAGAAGCAGTAAAGAAGGATATCTACGGTCGATTATCGGTAATACTGGGTCGCATGCGAAGGTGTCAGCAGGATCGGCTTAATAACAAGGATATTTATGGCCGAGATTACTAGAAAGCATTCGAACTATTGTGCCACGCCGTCCCACGTAGCCGCTTCTGACACTCGTCTCAATAAATCACGCCCCTTTATTTCAGTTACGGCTTGTGGCATCGATTCTCCTAACGTCCGTGCACGCCAGCAGCGGCTGGCCTTATCATGAGATAGTGGGCTCCGGACAATCGACGGGGCCGCTGCACGTTGGACCAGTTTACGGTGTCGCACCTGCGACGGCCAGTCTACTGCCCACGAAACCAATTGACGAACCAGAGATCGTAATCGCAGGACCTGTGGCGGACACCACGGTAGTCGAGGGACCATCTTCAGGGCCTGTCACCGTCGTCCTCTCACCCGGAACACATACCGACACCCTTCAGACTACACTCGCTATACAAAGTAATCAAATATGTGAAAACATACTGGAATTTCCTGTTCTGATTATGATAACCACCACCAGTTTATCTCCGATTCGATTTTCCAAGCAGCATCATGACATCATTGTCTGGACCAGATTTTAAATTCGCATGATTTGCATCGGCAAACCGACATAGTCTCCTGTGTTAAGTTTTACGACACACATAAAACGAGGAATTTATCTGTGGTTCATTCCCCTCGTGAATTGCCGAGTTTAATGGGTTCATAAATTCAAGTACGCATATCCAGGAGCCATACATTATGCGAGACATCATAATAAATCCGTTCTTTCCTAATGCGTTTCTAAACAATTTTGTTTCAGAAAAGGTGGACGTTCCGTCAGATGCGGTGCTGATTAAGGGGCCCTCGGTAGGGCCTGTTACGTTATTAGCACCGATTGATGCGGCGACAGCCGAAGCGGAAAGAAAGAAAAGCGCCGCCGCGTCAGTAACGGCGGATGTCGCGAAAGAATCAGCAGACAAGCTGTCGCTTGCCACAACAAACGGAGAGACGTCAGGCATCGCGACGGGTAATGCGGTAATCGGACCATCGATAGGGCCTATAGTCATCGCTGGCCCAACCGCTCCCCCAAATCCACCGGCTCTGACTGCGACACCCGAGCCAGTCACTGTTTCTATCCCAAAGAGCGATGCGTCTGCGATTATTGCAGGTGAGACTTTCGAAACTTTATTTTCATAACACGAGGCCGAAAAAGACCATTTTCGGCGCCTATAAAGTGGACCGAAAATAGAGTTTTCCCGCCCTAGGGTAGGGCTATTTTCAATCCGCTTTGTAGGCGACGAAAGATAGTCTTTTTTATGCCCTTTTTATGAAAAATATTGTGTGTTCGTGTTTATTGCTCGTATTGCTCGTGTTCATCTCGGGCGCCTGTAGCGCCCTCGACTGCCACTCGTGCTCAAACATCAACCTCGCCCGGAAAGACTCATTTTCGGCCCTTTAAAAAGTACTATTATATTATATTCATAATTAAAGTAAGTTTGATTCTTATATTGATAAATCTTGATTTATATATTGAATTTAACGCAACGTGTTAACGAATTCATTATTGAATTATTAATTACGATCGCACCGAGTGGAATGCAGGTTCCTTAAAACAACAAATTCTTCAGACCTTGAAGATCAACATGAAATTTGCAAAACTAACAATAATTACGTGAGCCGGCATAGAGAGTTGCAATATCAATACTATTTACACACGCCGGATCCCCGACTGTTTACAGATGCAACAGATTCGACGAGAATCGAGAGTTCGGCGTCGAGCACTGGCTCGGTAACGAGTACCTCCGCGAGTACGACGGCCACGGCTAGGGTTAATTTGATTACACCTGCGGCTGCTGCGATTGCGAGCAGCGGGACGGCGGCGTCGTTAAGTAACGTAGTCGTATCAGCGCCGTCCGCCGTTCTCCCGGTTCCCGCGGGAACCGTTACCAGCGAAACCGTATCCTCGTCGCTGCTCAAGTCGCCGTTCCAGCTGGAGTAACTCTTCCAGCAATCTGGGCTATAAAGAAGATCTGCTATCCTTGTAATTGAAAAACCTTTTCCTATTACGTTTACTATTATTCGCTCTTAATAAAGTGTTTATTTACTCTTCTCTTTATTTATCTCCCTTGCATTTGTTCGTCGGAGATCGCAATTACAATCTTTTAATTGATAGACTTTGCACGGTTGTGGAGGGGCACGTTCGAGGCGCGCCTTTCTAAAGATAGTTTCGCGCCGGACAAGCGCATTCGTTGACATTGCGTTGGCGACCGCGCAGGACGAGGAAGAATAGAGAAGTTGTGCAAGGACAACCGCGTATAACCCGGTTGGCATTGATTACTCGCTCGTACACAATAACTGTGAATTCTTCTGCACACTCGCCTACTGCCTTATTTTTTTCCACTATAGAGCTAAACTGGACCGATAAGGAGCTTGTTCTGTGCGTTACCATGCAGGCACGATTACTGAACGAGTTGATGTAACTTTCAATACGAATTGCAATCGGTAGATAGTTCGATGGAAATTATGTACGCTGCTTTATAAATACTCGACTAGGCTTTCGCCATTATGCGCGTGTAATCATCGCTGATGGTGAATTTCTGTATTGTTGATCGCAACAATGCACCGAACGCGGTTTAACTAAGTTATATTTATCGTATTAACACCGGCGCGCGAACACAACGGCTGGCGCAACCTACAGTTTAGCTTGAATCATGGCAAACACTCTAAACCGTGCGATTAAGCTTGAAACACAATTATTGCCGATACCGCTTTCACTAGCCAAGCGGACTGCCTCGGCGTGTACATTAAAGAAACTTTCGCCGCATATTAGAAATGTTGAATTAAATGTCTTCTCTAAACCTGTTAAACCAGTAAAAATTCTGATAATTCTATCCAATGCATAAAAATTATTTTTTCTTTATATTAATAAGCAATAATGATTTCTCTTTAACACGTTCCGTGCCAAGCCATTTTTGCCTGACTTGCTTCAACGAAATGCACCATTAAATGTAATTAATTATTGTATATATAACAATTAAATAAACTTATGTGTTTTGTTCTTTACTGCATCTTGTATAATGCTTCATTTTTTAGGTAGAAATATAGTTTACAGAATTATATTTGTAATAAAATATATGTTTTCAGCGCATTAAATAAATATGACTGCGTGTACCACCGGTGGTACACGTGGCCTGACGATCAAGTTTACCGTGTACCACCGGTGGTACACGTGGCACGGAACGTGTTAAGGATCAACGTTGCGTGGAAAGACAGAAC